TTCCCTCATCACCTTGCTCTTTTCTATGTTCACTTTCAATTTACTACCTTTAAACACACTCCCAAACTCGTCCACTAATGTTTCCACCTTTTCTTTAGAATCTCCCATAAGCAAAGTATAATCAGCAAAAAGTAACTGTGTCAACTCTCATTTTATACCTGATTCCCCATAATTTAATCTCACTCCTCTTCCCAACACCCTAGCATTTACTTCTTTTACAACTCCATCTATAAATATATTAAACAACCATGGTGACATTACACATCCCTGTCTAAGACCTACTTTTACCGGGAAGAAATCTCCCTCTCTCCTACACACCCATAACCTGAGCCTCACTATCCTCATAAAAACTCTTTACAGCATTTAGTAACTTACTACCTATTCCATACACTTGCAACATCTGCCACATTGCTCTCCTATCCACTGTATCATATGGCTTTTCTAAATCCATAAATGCAATGAAAACTTCCCTACCTTTATCTAAATATTGTTGACATGTATGCTTCATTGTAAACACTTGATCTACACATCCCCAACCCACTCGAAAGCCTCCTTGCTCATCTGCAATCCTGCTCTCTTTCTTACCTCTAATTCTTTCAATAATAATTGTACTATACACTTTACCTGGTATACTCAGTAAACTTATTTATTTTTTTTTTTTTTTATTAACACACTTGCCGTTTCCCACCAAGGCAGGGTGGCCTGAAAAAGAAAAACTTTCACAATCATTCACTCCATCACTGTCAGTAAACTTATTCCCCTATAATTTTTACAATCTCTTTTTAATGCCCCTCCTTTTATATAAAAGAACTATACATGGTCTCTGTTAATCCCTAGGTACCTTCCCCTCTTTCATACATTTATTAAACAAAAATACCAACCACTTCAACACTGTATCCCTGCCTGCTTTTAAAATTTCTCTCATGATCCCATCAGTTCCTGCTGCTTTACCCCCTTTTTCTTTGTAATGCTTCACACACCTCCCCCACACCCACATCCTGCTCTTCTTCACTCCTAAAAGATGTTATACCTCCCTGACCAGAGCATGAAGTTACCACCTCCCTTTTTTCATCAACATTTAAAAGTTCCTCAAAATAATCCTGCCATCTACGCAAAACCTCCAGCTCTCCATCTACTAACTTCCCTAATCTGTTTTTAACTGACAAATTCATTCGTTCCCTAGACTTTCTTAACTTGTTTATCTTACTCCAAATTTTTTTCTTATTTTCAGCAAAATTTCTTGGAAGTGCCTCTCCCACTCTTTCATCTGCTCTCCTTTTGCACTCCCTCACCACTCTTTTCAACTTTCTTTTACTCTCCATATACTCTGCTCTTCGTACAACACTTCTGCTTTGTAAAAACTTCTCATAAGCTACCTTTTTCTCTTTTATCACACCCTTTACTTCATCATTCCACCAATCACTCCTCTTTCCTCCTGCACCCACCCACCTATACCCACAAACTTCTGCCCCACATTCTAATACTGCATTTTTAAAACTGTCTCAACCCTCTTCAACTCCCCCACTACTCATACTTGCATTAGCCCACCTTTCTGCCAATAGTTGCTTATATGTCACCCTAACTTCCTCCTCCCTTAGTTTATACACTTTCACATCTCTCTCTTACTTGCTGTTACCATTTTCCTTTTGCTCCATCTACCTCTTACAACTAAATAATGATCTGATATATCCGTTGCCCCTCTATAAACATATACATTCTGAAGCCTACCCATCAACCTTTTATCCACCAGTAGATAATCTAACAAACTACTTTCATTACGTGCTATATCATACCTTGTATACTTATTTATCCTCTTTTTCATAAAATATGTGGTACTTATTACCAAACCTCTTTCTACACATAGCTCAATTAAAGGCTCCCCATTTTCATTTACCTCTGATACCCCAAATTTACTTGCTACTCCCTCCACAACATTTTTACCCACTTTAGCATTGAGATCCCCAACCACAAGTACTCTCTCACTTGGCTCAACACTCCCCACTCGCTCAATATTTCCCAGAATCTCTCTCTCTCTCCTCTACACTTCTGTCTTCTCCAGGTGCATAAACACTTACTATAACCCACTTTTCACAATCAACCCTTACTTTACATCACATAATCCTTGAATTTATACATTTATATTCCGTCTTTTCCTGCCATAACTTATCTTCTAACATTATTGCTACTCCTCCTTTAGCTCTAACTCTGAAACCCCTGACCTAATCCCATTTATTTCTCCCCACTGAAACTCTCCTACCCTCTTCAGCTTTGTTTCACTTAAAGCCAGGACATCCAGCTTCTCATTCATAGCATCCACAATCATCTCTTTCTTAACATTCCCACAACATCCATGCACATTCAAACATCCACTTTGACCGTTTTCTTGTTCTTTTTAGTAAGCTATACGGGAAAAGGGGTTACTGGCCCATTGTTCCTGGCATTTTAGTTGACTTTTACAACACACATGGCTCATGGAGGAAAGATTCTTATTCCACTTACCCATGGATATGAAATGAAAAGCACTAAGAACAAAAACTAGCTAAATAAAATCAAAGAAAACTCAGATGAATGTGTGTACATAAACATGTACATGTAAGTGTTGTGTGACCTAAGTGTAAGTAGAAGTAGCAGGATGTACCTGAAATCTTGCATGTTTATGAGACAGAAAAAAGACACCAGCAATCCTACCATCATGTAAAACAAATACAGGCTTTCTTTACTCTCCTCACCTGGCGATGTACTCATTTACTGACGACTTTGACTTATGATGGGCTCTCTGATCAGTATGCATACCTAAGTAATGTATATTAGAGCTGATTTCCTCTATTCTGTTTATTGCAATAAACAGTACACTATTGTATAAACATTTAAAAATATACTAAAAATGTTATAAATGGTGCAAAGGTAACATTAAAACAATATCAGAGATGGTTGACAGAAACCCACTGCCATTATACTATGCTCCTTGCTTAGTGACGAATTCATTTACCGACATGGTCTTAGGAACGGAACTCTGTCAGTGAGGAGAGGCCATATACTCTACTGTTTATGAATACATTTATTAATTGATTTATTAGCAAGGGGCTAGTAACCCCTTCTGTATTTAGTTACTAAATTTATAAAGAAGAACTTTTTAAAGTTAGGATGTTTGAATGTGTGTGGATGTAATACAGAAGATAAGAAAGAGTTGATTGTAGATGTTAGGAATGAAAAGAATCTGGATGTCCGAGCTCTAAACAAAACAAAGCTGAAGGGGGTAGGTGGTTTTCAGTGGGGAGAAATAAATGGGATTATGGTGGCCATATCTGAGACCATTATAGCTACAATTACAGCTACAATGTGTGGCTGTCTTAGCTATTAAATCCGTAGTGGAATACATAATAGCCTCATTGTTCTACTGAAGTCTCCTAGCTCATACAAACAGACTTCATTATCCTATGCAGTGTGATGCCTTGCCTTGCTTTAACCTTGTTGCAAAAGGATGGTTAGTGATGCTTGAAGTATGAACTTTACAAGGTGGTGTCACATAATTGGGTAAATTGTGGGAAAGTCCTGAGGATAAAGTAGTACACTCTTGAACAAGTTGTCTGACACTTGCAGCTGGTGGTGGAGGGATTATGCAGCATATTTGTTAACCTGCAAATATTGTAAAACAATAGGTTACGTATGTAGAATTAATATATATTTACCAAATTTCAAATAATTATTTTTTTTGCAAATGATAAATCTCCAAATACAGTAAACCAGGAAAATGATAGGCTGAATAACTAAAACCTTCAGAACAAGAGATGCCAAGCTGATGATGATACTCAAGTGTCGCTTGTTGTCTCTAGGTTGGAGTAATGCTGTACTCTGCTCGTATAGATTCTGTCAAACACCTAAATTACTATGAGCATTTGAAGTCTCTCAACCTGTACTCCTTGGAAAATAGGCAAGAGTGGCACATTGTAATCTAAACTTTGAATATTTTAGAGGGATTGTTTCCAAATATACTCACAAATTGTTCCCTTGAAAGTAAGAAACATGGCAGACAGTGCAAAATACCCTTAATGAAAAGCAGGGGTGCACTGAGTACACTGAGAGGTAAAACTCAGTAAGTGTGAAGGGGCCAAGACTTATTAACATCTTTCCTTCATACATTAGGGGGGATTACTAACAGACCCCTGGCTGTCTTCAATAAGGAAGTGGATAAGTTTCTCAAGTCACTGCATGATCAGCTGGGCTGTGGTGCATATATTGGACTTTGTGTGGCTAGTGCCAGCAGCCTGATTGATCAGGTCATCCACGTGGAGACTTAGTCAGGGACCAGGCCACGAGAGTGCTGACTCTTTGCACACACTCCAGGTTGACTCCTGGTAGCAGAATTCAAGTAGGATAGGTATTCTTAATTATTTAATATACTGTCATCTTTGGAAATTGTGTGTTCCTCAGTTTGAGGTTCAAATAATGAACATCTTGTTTGTGTGAAACAAGCAAGATGTTCACTGTTAATTGGATTTCTTAACAGAATATACTGTGCAATTGCGTATTGATATGAATAGTAGTTTTTGAACTTAGTTTTAGAAACATGTTTTTTGTACAATACAGTGATGAGATGAAATAACATAAAAATTTAAAATTAGCACGAATGAGGAATTTGTTTATAACGCTCGTTGTATTATGTAATGTACCCCTGATGAAGGGCTCTTGATCCAGGGAATTGAATTGCTTTCCACTTTTTCGGGTAAAACCTGAGTGCCTCTCCTTTGCTGAATGCCTTGCTTTCCCCCTCAAAAATTGTGTGATTTGACCTTGTTGCATAATTTGTTAGAAAATTTTCCAGATACATGTACATGTGTTCCTGTTACCTTTATACTTTTAGCTGAACTACAAATACTGAGAGGAAGCAATGGTGTCAGACTAATTCAACATTGAAAAAAAAAATTGAGTATAATTGTATTGTTTTAAAATAAAGTTAATTATGCTTGAGTAAAATGTATGTTTGTCTACAATGTCTGCAGGTACGTGAAAAATACCCTCACTTGGAAAACCGCCAGGTGACAAAGATTTTGGGAGAGTGGTGGGCAGACCTTCCAGCTCATCAAAAAACATCATATACTGAGTTGGCAAGGCAGTACAAAGAGGCCTTCTTGCGTGCCAATCCAGATTTTAAGTGGTACAAGATCCCTGCTCAGCCTCCACGACCACCACCTGCAAGACCCTCCAACCAGAAGGTCCCCAGGTGTAACCCTCTTCCTACAGATGGTGCCATCACTTTTGGAAAGCTTGCTGGTAACATTTATGCAGTTTTCTCTTTTCTTTGTATTTGAGAGTAATTTGTTGAAAATACAGTACCGTATAAGGGTATTAAAATGTTAAATGTATTCCTTATTTTAGGGACATGACAGGGAATTTTAATTGTTTATTTACCTGCAGTGTCCCATGTAATTTATATTTGTATTATATTATTATATTATATGTATTGTATTATATATTGTATTATATATGTCCATGGGGAAGTGGAAAAGAATCTTTCCTCCGTAAGCCATGCGTGTCGTATGAGGCGACTAAAATGCCGGGAGCAATGGGCTAGTAACCCCTTCTCTTGTAGACATTTACTAAAAAAGAGAAGAAGAAAAACTTTATAAAACTGGGATGCTTGAATGTGTGTGGATGTAGTGCAGATGACAAGAAACAGATGATTGCTGATGTTATGAATGAAAAGAAGTTGGATGTCCTGGCCCTAAGCGAAACAAAGCTGAAGGGGGTAGGGGAGTTTTGGTGGGGGGAAATAAATGGGATTAAATCTGGAGTATCTGAGAGAGTTAGAGCAAAGGAAGGGGTAGCAGTAATGTTGAATGATCAGTTATGGAAGGAGAAAAGAGAATATGAATGTGTAAATGCAAGAATTATGTGGATTAAAGTAAAGGTTGGATGCGAGAAGTGGGTCATAATAAGCGTGGATGCACCTGGAGAAGAGAGGAATGCAGAGGGAGAGAGAGATTTTGGGAGATGTTAAGTGAATGTATAGGAGCCTTTGAACCAAGTGAGAGAGTAATTGTGGTAGGGGACCTGAATGCTAAAGTAGGAGAAACTTTAGAGAGGGTGTGGTAGGTAAGTTTGGGGTGCCGGGTGTAAAGGATAATGGGAGCCCTTTGATTGAACTTTGTATAGAAAGGGGTTTAGTTATAGGTAATTACATATTTTAAGAAAAAGAGGATAAATAAGTATGCAAGATATGATGTAGGGCGAAATGACAGTAGTTTGTTGGATTATGTATTGGTAGATAAAAGACTGTTGAGTAGACTTCAGGATGTACATGTTTACAGAGGGGCCACAGATATATCAGATCACTTTCTAGTTGTAGCTACACTGAGAGTAAAAGGTAGATGGGATACAAGGAGAATAGAAGCATCAGGAAGAGAGAGGTGAAGGTTTATAAACTAAAAGAGGAGGCAGTTAGGGAAAGATATAAACAGCTATTGGAGGATAGATGGGCTAATGAGAGCAAAAGGCAATGGGGTCGAAGAGGTATGGGGTAGGTTTAAAAATGTAGTGTTAGAGTGTTCAGCAGAAGTTTGTGGTTACAGGAAGTGGGTGCGGAGGGAAGAGGAACGATTGGGGGAATGATGATGTAAAGAGAGTAGTAAGGGAGAAAAAGTTAGCATATGAGGAGTTTTTACAAAGTAGAAGTGATGCAAGGAGGGAAGAGTATATGGAGAAAAAGAGAGAGGTTAAGAGAGTGGTGAAGCAATGTAAAAAGAGAGCAAATGAGAGAGTGGGTGGAGATGTTATCAACAAATTTTGTTGAAAATAAGAAAAAGTTTTGGGAGTGAGATTAACAAGTTAAGGAAGTCTAGAGAACAAATGGATTTGTCAGTTAAAAATAGGAGAGGAGAGTTATTAAATGGAGAGTTAGAGGTATTGGGAAGATGGAGGAATATTTTGAGGAATTGTTAAATGTTGATGAAGATAGGGAAGCTGTGATTTCGTGTATAGGGCAAGGAGGAATAACATCTTGTAGGAGTGAGGAAGAGCCAGTTGTGAGTGTGGGGGAAGTTCGTGAGGCAGTAGGTAAAATGAAAGGGGGTAAGGCAGCCGGGGATTGATGGGATAAAGATAGAATGTTAAAGAAGGTGGGGATATAGTTTTGGAGTGGTTGGTGCAATTATTTAATAAATGTATGGAAGAGGGTAAGGTACCTAGGAATTGGCAGAGAGCATGCATAGTTCCTTTGTGTAAAGGCAAAGGGGACAAAAGAGAATGCAAAAATTATAGGGGGATAAGTCTGTTGAGTAGAACTGGTAAAGTGTATGGTAGAGTTATTATTGAAAGAATTAAAAGTAAGACGGAGAATAGGATAGCAGATGAACAATCAGGCTTTAGGAAAGGTAGGGGGTGTGTGGACCAGGTGTTTACAGTGAAACATGTAAGTGAACAGTATTTAGATAAGGCTAAAGAGGTCTTTGTGGCATTTATGGATTTCGAAAAGGCGTATGACAGGGTGGATAGGGGGGCAATGTGGCAGATGTTGCAGGTGTATGGTGTAGGAGGTAGGTTACTGAAAGCAGTGAAAGAGTTTTTTACGAGGATAGTGAGGCTCAAGTTAGAAATATGTAGGAAAGAGGGAATTATTTCCCAGTAAAAGTAGGCCTTAGACAAGGATGTGTGATGTCACCGTGGTTGTTTAAATAATTTATAGATGGGGTTGTAAGACAAGTAAATTCGAGGGTCCTTGACAAGAGGCGTGGAGTTAAAAGATAAAGAATCACACATAAAGTGGGAGTTGTCACAGTTGCTCTTTGCTGATGACACTGCTCTTGGGAGATTCTGAAGAGAAGTTTCAGAGATTGGTGGATGAATTTGGTAGGGTGTGCAAAAGAAGAAAATTAAAAGTGAATACAGGAAAGAGTAAGGTTATGAGGATAGCAAAAATATTAGGTGATGAAAGATTGGATATCAGATTGGAGGGAGAGAGTATGGAGGAGGTGAATGTATTCAGATATTGGGAGTGGACGTGTCAGCGGATGGGTCTATGAAGGATGAGGTGAATCATAGAATTGATGAGGGAGAAAGGGTGAGTGGTGCACTTAGGAGTCTGTGGAGACAAAGAATTTTGTCCTTGGAGGCAAAGGGGGGAATGTATGAGAGAATAGTTTTACCAACACTTTTATATGGGGTTAAGCATGGGTTAAATGTTGCAGCGAGGAGAAGGCTGGAGGCGTGGAGATGTCATGTCTGGGGGCAATGTGTGGTGTAAATATAATCAAGAATTGTGTTTGGAATTGGGAGGAGGTGGGGGGGTTTTTAAAACCAAAACTGTTGCCAAGGGCGAGGAAGGGTTTTTGAGGTGGTTCAGACATGTAGAGAGAAGGAGCAAAACAGAATGACTTAAGTGATAGTCTGTGTGGAAGGAAGGGGGGGTTTGGGGTGGGTGGAAAAGGTTGGAGGGAGGGGGGTAAAGGGGGTTTTGGTGGAGGGGCTTGGACTTCCAGCAGGCGGCGGAGCGTTTTTTGATAGATGAATGGAGACGAAGGTTTTAATACTTGACGGCTGTTGGAGTGGAGCAAAAGTAACTTTTTAAAAGGGTTTTTCGGGGAACCCCGGGGGCCCGGACGAGTCCTGGAAAGGGGAAGACGTCCCCTGCACTTGAAGGGGGGGGTGTTAATGTTGCATTTAAAAAAATGTGTGTAAAGCACCCTTCTGGCAAGACAGTGATGGAGTGAAGGGTGAATTTTTTCTTTTTCGGGCCACCCTGCTTGGTGGAATGGGGCCAGTGTTAATAGAAAAAATAGAAAAATTATATATATTTTTCTTTTTTGTATGATTGTGTTTTTAATTTTTAGTACAATGGAGCCCCTGTTACGGTGCCCCCCATTTGATTTTTTTATGTACAGCCGTTGCTCGGTTATTTTTTACCCCCTGGATATGACCAAAATTCAATTGCAAGCTTCCCCCTCAAGGAGGTTTTCCCTTAGCTGGTGGGGGCTCTTGATCTAGGGAATTGTATCTGTGCTCCAATTTCAATTAAACCTGAATACCTTTCCCTCCCCCCTTCCCCCCCAGGGCTGTATAATCCTATGGTTTGGCACTTCCCCCATTATAATAATATAATAATAATAATACTATAATTTTTTAATAATTAATTTTAATAAAAAATTATAATAATACATAATAATTTTAATACTATAATATTATATATATAATAAGAATTTAGTTTCAGAATGCAACAAAGCCATCACTAGAGGACATGAATCCAAACAGCGCTCAAACCAAAGTGAAAAGCGGGAGAAAAAGCCCAAAAAACAGTGAAAAATGAAGTGGAAAAAAAAAATAAAAAAAAAATTGTAGCAGTTAAGTTCAGTGAAGTGTAGCATTAAGAGGTAGCAAAGTAAGTTAAGCAATTAAGTGATAGGAAAAAAGGATGAAACAAAATAAACTCCTCCAATGTTATTGTTGGGGTTTATGGGGCTACTGACAGCATATGCTGCTCTGCATATTTTTCCACTGTCAACCTCGGTCAGCACTTTTCTCCGAGGTAAATGCTGTATATACACCAGTTTATTTCTTTACATTCTCTGTTGTGTTTTATTATGTTTGTATACAATATTTCTTTTTTCAGTGTTTTCCTTATGAAACAAGTGCAGTTGCCTCACAAAAAACTCCGTTTTTCCGTATAAAACACCTCAGAAGGGAAAACAGGGAGATGTTTTCAGAGCAGGAGCGAAATGGCCACCACCACCTGTTACATAATGACATACAATGGACCCCCTCATTTCAGTGGCCGCGACTTTCGTGAAATCCGACTTTCGGCAACTTTTTTTGTCAAATATAGCCTCACAGTTCGTGATTGGCTTCATGATTCGTCCATCCTGTGGGACGCGTCCGTGCAGCTGGGAGCGGCTGGGGGATACACAAGTCTCCCACACAACATTCAGAGAGACTAGTGTGGCACGATTTGTGGGTGAGTGACCATCACCCCACGGGTTCATATGATATGTTTCATAATAATCCATTGTTTTTGTGCTTGCAACTGCTAAATAAGCCACCTTGGGCCCAAAGAAAGCTCATAGTGTCTCCCCTTTTGGGTAAAGAAGGAAAGAAACATGATAGAATTCGAGAAAAAACTTGTAGCAAAGTACCAAAGTGGAGGAGGAAGAGAGAGGGGAGAATGTGCCTTCTTCAGTGATTCAGTGATTCTACGATATGTACGATACTAAAGCAGCAGGTATTGATAAAGGCTATAGTGCCAGCCAGCAATAAAGTGTAGCATTAACAGTTGTGATGAATGG